CAACAGAAGGTGGAAATTATTGAACAATATCATTAATATCACCAAAACAACGACAACAAAAAAATAAAACCCACCAACCAAATTCACTGCCATCAAGTGGATTCCAACTCATAGCAACCCTCATTGGGTTTCCAAGGCTGAGAACCTTCACGGAAGCAGACTGCCCCATCTTTTTTCTGTGGAGAAGCTGGTGGTTTCAAACCACTGAGCTTTTTGGTTAGCAGCCAAATGCCTTAACTACTACATCATCAGAGCGCCTTATGAATATCACATGCAAGTAAAATTTTGCTTAACAGCAACAACAACAACAACAAAAAACAAACTCACTGCCGTTGAGTCAATTCGACTCACAGAGACCCTCCTTGGGTTTCCGAGGCGGTATCTCTCTATGGAAGCAGATTGCCCAGTCTTCCTTCTGAGAGGTGGCTGGTGGGTTTGAACTGCCAGACTTCTGGTCAGCAGCCAGATGAATTAAGCACTATGCCACCAGAGCTCCTAAATTTAAAAACAAAAGTTGCAGGAAAACATCAACAGGGAACTGCGAGAAATTCAAGATTCAGAAGAGGATATCACTGCTGATGTCAGATGGATCTTGGCTGAAAGCTGAGAATAATAGAAAGATGCTTACCTGTGATTTACTGCCTGTGCAAAGCTGTTCAACTGTGTGAATCATAACAAATTATTGATAACATTGCAAAGAATGGGAATTCCAGAACACTTAATTTTGCACCTGCAGAACCTGTACATAGATTAAAAGACAGCAGTTCAGACAGAAAAAGGGGACACTGAATGGTTTAAAATCAAGAAAAATGTGTGTCAGTGTGGTATCTGTTCACCATACTCATTCAATCTGTATGCTGGGGAAATAATCTGATAAAATGGACTATATGAAAAAGAATGTGGTATCAGGATTAGAGAAAGATTCTTTACCAATCTCTGATATGCAGATGACACAATCTTGCTAGCTGAACGCAAAGAGGGCTTGAAGCCTTTGTTGATGAAGATCAAAGACTACAATCTTCAGTATGGATTACATTTCAACATAAAGAAAACAAAAATCTTTGTAACCGGACCAAGAAGCAATATCATGATAAAAGGAGCAAAGAATGAAGTTGTCAAGGATTTTATTTTCCTTGGCTCCACAATCAACACCCATGGAAGCAGAAGTCAAAAAATCAAAACAATGTATTACATTGGGCACATGTGCTGCAGAGAAGTAAAGATGTCACTTTGAAGACTAAGATGTTCTTAACCTCAGCCGTGGCATTTTTAATCACCTCATATGCTTGCAAAAGATGGACAATGAATAAAAAGACTGAAAAAGAATCGATGCCTTTGAATTACGGTGTCGAGAAGAATATTGAATACATGGACTACCAGAATGAACAGATCTATCTTGGAAGAAGTACAGCCAGAATGCTCCTTAGAAGCAAGGATGGTGAGACTGGTACTCTGGACATGTTAACAGGAGGACCCAGTCCTTTGATAAAGACATCATGCTTGGTAGAGGGTCAGTGGAAACAAGGAAGACCCTCATTGAGATGGATTGATACAGAGGATGCAACAATGGGCTCAAATATAGCAATGATTGTGAGGATGGCATAGGACTCGATAGTGTTTCTTCTGTTGTCCTTAGGGTTACTATGAGTAGGAACCAACTCAAGAGCAACTAACAACAATGTCTGTTTCTTTTCTCTTTTTTCTTGTTGCATTTTCTAGCGGTTTGCCTACTTTATTCATCTTTTCAAGGAATTCACTTTTGGCTTTGCTGATCATCTCTACTGTATTCATTTATTTGCTTTTTTATTACACTTTCATTAATTTTGTTCTTTAGTATTTCTTTTCTTCTGTTTTCTTTGGATGAGTTTGTTCTTTTTTGTAGCTTAAGGTGGAAACTTACAACATTCATTTTCAGCTTTTCTTCTTTTTTCAATGTATTTCTTACCTTCTAAGTAATAATATTCCACAAATTTTAACACAAATTTATCTATTATTATTCAGTTCTAAGTGTAACAGGACATTGGACAAGGGATGAAATCAGATTATAAATTCATTTATTTGCCACACTGCTTGTTCAAACCCACTGATGATTAATTTTTCCCAGTACTCTTGAATAAAAACTAGGAAAAGCCATGATTTTTCTGGTTTCTCTTGATTAAAAAAAACATCTTGTGGTCACTTCTAGCCACTACAAACAAACAAAACAGTCTCAGTTTGGTAATTAATAATTCTACTGTGATATAATATTTAAGACTTTAAAGCTCACTCCAAAACTGTTTTCCTCTCTCAGAATTCTGGCTTGTTACAGGTGAGTTGTCTGCAGTGGATATTTTAAGTGAGTGCTTCTTTTACATACTTTATGCCTCTGTGTTCTTCCCTTATTTTCTAGGCTATTTTTCAGTTCTCTAGAGTTGATTTGGGAGCTCTGGTAGCATAGTGGCTAAGACACTTGCCTGCTAACCAGAAGGCTGGCGGTTCAAACCCACCAGCCACTCCTCGGAAGGAAGGTTGGGCAATCCTACTTCTGTAGTGATACTGCCTCGGAAACCCAAGGAGGGGTCGCTATGAGTCGGGGCCGACTCGACGGCACATAACAACAACAACAACAACAGAGTTGATTTTGGGAAAAGGGAGATAAAGTAAATAGGAAAGGTTTTAGTACTGCCAAGAGATTACATTAGGCTCTCCATTGTTGTTATGTGCCGTCAAGTAGGACCTGACTCATAGTGACCCCTCCTTGGGTTGCCGAGGCAGTATCCCTATGAAAGTACATTGCCCAACCTTCCTTCCGAGGAGTGGCTGCTGGGTTTGAACTGCCAGCCTTCTGGTTAGCAGTCAAGTGCCTTAGGCACTGTGCTACTAGAGCTCCATACAAAAAAAAAAAAAACAAACCCACTGCCATCCAGTTGATTCTGACTCATCGCAAACCCCCACTGGGTTTCTGAGGTGGTAAATCCTAACGGTAGTAGACTGCCCTGTCTTCCTTCCATGGAGTGGGTAGTGGGCTCTCCTTCTTCAGACTCTCTCCTTCACCCCTAGGCATTGAGTGTTATTTTTTTTCTTTTAGCCAAAATATTTAACTGAAGCAATAGCTATGCAGAATGCAGTTTCAAGTGGATGGTTTCCATAAAAAACAACAGTAACAGCAACATATATATTTCTTACTATAGCCAGGCACTGTTTCAAATGTTTTACTCATTTAGTTCTTACAATAACCTTTTAGTTAGGTTACCTCATTTTTCAGGTGAGGACACTGGAGTACTGAGAAGTTAACTGATTTGGCCAATGCCTCACACACAGTGGATGAATTAGCTTTTTCTCTTAGACACAGTTCTACCTGTTGGCGGACAGAAATTAATGCTATTCTAGAGAAGCATTTTATGAAAATATACTATTAATTTTCAAATCTGTTGAAGATTTGCAGGACAAATAGCAATTGTTTTTCTCATTAAGGACCTATAGAAGGCAGACTCCTACTTCCCTCCCCAGCCAAAAATGTCTAGGTCCTAATCCCAGGAATCTGTGAATGTAACTTTGTGATATTACTACGGATACAGATGTTGAATGGGGGAGATTATCCAGCATGACCCAGGTGGGCCCAACCTAATCAGATAAACCCTTAAAATCTGAGACCTTCCACAGCTGCAGTCAGAGGGATATGGGACTATGGAGGAAGGGTCAGAGAGATGTAGCATTGCTAGCTTTTAAGATGGAGGAAGATGGTCATGAGCCAAGGAAGCTACAAAAGCCAAGGGAACATTCTCCTTTAGAGCCTCCACAAAGGAACCTATTTAAAGTCTGATTTTGTATGCATCTTTTAAAGTTACTAAGATGCTTACAAAAATAGTGTGGATGGTTTTCTTAGAACAGCGTTTTCTTGATACAATTTAAGACGGCACACAGAAAAAAAAAACATTTTAAATTTCAATAGTACCTTTACGTTTACTTTCTATTTAGGGCAGTTGTTGCTGGTTTTGTACTGACAGAAGTGATTTATGATTTACTGTATTTTAAAGTATATGACCCAAGGAAACGCGCTGATTTCACTCAGCCTCCGTGTGGGTATCCTTGAAGCGTTGGCGTCCCATGGAACTGAGCAGCACTCGAGGGCATCAATCGCTGGCCTCCTTAAGTTCCTAACATGCAGCAACACCACGAAGTCACTAAGCACCAAATAAAAGACAAAGGACCAGGGTCGCGGGAAGGACGGTCTCTTTTCAGGAGGTGACCCTTCTTAATTACCCCAAATCAAAACCCCTGCCATTAAGCCGATTCATAGCCACCCCTAGGGTTTCCAAGGCTGTAAATGTTTCCGGAAGTAGATTGCCCCATCTTCTTTCCGCAGAGCAGCTGGCGGGTTTGAACCATTCACCTTCTGATTAACTGCAAAATGCCTCACCCGTTGTGCCACCAGATCCTTGCCCCTATCAATTAGGAGCCAAACCCCTGGTATCTGCCACACGCTCTCAGCAAAATCCACACTAGCCCAGAGAGCAATCTCCAACATCGCAACACCTGCAATTCTACCGGACTTTGTGTTACAGACCCCCGGGGAAAACACAAGGAAGACTACTCTGTTCACATACGAAAAACAACACAAAACAATTAAAAAAAAAAAAAAAAAGTTATCGCGAGATCCTGATGACAGTTTTTGGAACCCGTTCTCGCGAGATTTTCTGAGTCTGGGTTGCAATGAAGCTGTAGGTTGGAGAGGGAGGCCCAGCAGTAAAAGGGAGTGGAAGGCGTCGCCATGCCCATGTCTTGCTTTCCTCCAGCGACGGTGGAGGCATTGGGACTCGAGACGACTTAGTGAGCGCCGCCTTGTCATTCACCAGGCGCCGGCTTTGCCACTGCGTCGGACGCTGCCATCTTCTTTTCGTGGGTCCTCTTAGCCTCCACCTTTGCTCCCTGCCGTCCAGTGGCTTCCGGCTCCAGGGGGGCGATGTACGGACGGCGGCGGGAGGTGTTCCTGGTGTCTTCTGCCGCTTGTCTATTGTCAAATGCCGCCCAGCTGCCAGGCTCCTCCCCCTGGCCAGATGGATTCTTCTACGCAGAAGTCCCACGCGGAAACCACCTGCAAAGGTATAAGCTCGGAGCTCGCCAGTCCGCCCAAGCACCTGTCTTTACAGTGCCGGGTGGACCCGTACCTGCCAGTACCCTTCGTGTGTGGGTTTTACCCTGTGGCTCCTGAATGACAGCAAGAAATTGCGAATCCCTTAAGGGCTGAGATCAATTTTTTTGCGATCCAGTGCTGAGAACCTGGCATATGGAGTTGGTCACTCTAGTGCTCGCTTTGACAATTACTTGCTAAGCATTTTTGCGCAGTTTTCTCATCTGTACAATTAGGATAATTGCTGGATTGTTGGCATTACTAAATGAGATGGTGTATGTGAAGCACTTTTTTGCCCAGCGTCTGGTCCATAGTAAGCACTCAGTAAATGTTGTTGTTGTTGTTGTTATGTGCCGTCAAGTCATACCTGACTCATAGCGACCCCTCCTTGGGTTTCCGAGGCAGTATCACTACGGAAGTAGGATTGCCCAACCTTCCTTCCGAGGAGTGGCTGGTGGGTTTGAACCGCCAGCCGTCTGGTTAGCAGGCAAGTGTCTTAGCCACTATGCTACATCAGTAAATGTTAGGTATTTTTATTCTTAATCTTTGTATATGAGCTCTGGTGACGTAGTGCGTAAGGCATTTGACTGCTAACCAGAAGGCTGGCGGTTCAAACCCACCAGCCAGTCCTCAGAAGGAAGATTGGGCAATCTACTTCCGTAGTGATACTGCCTTGGAAACCCAAGGAGGGGTCGCTTTGAGTTGGGACCCACTGGATGGCAGTGAGTTAATCCTTGTATGTGTCAAGGAACTTTGGTAGCATAGTGCCAAAGGCATTTGGCTGCTACCCAGAAGGTTAGCAGTTCAAACCCCTCAGCCACTCTGCAGAAGGAAGACTGAGCAATCTACTTCGGTAAAGATTTACCTCCTTGGAAACCCAAAGGGGTCACTATGAGTAGGAATCCATTAGATAGCAGTTAGTTTAGGTTTTTTTGGTTTTGGTTTTGGTTTTGTATGTGTCAGGTGTCAGTGAATGGTAAGATTTTGTTAAGCAGATGAATAAAGGTTGAGGTACTTGGTTCAGTCTACTTTTATTACACCAAGAGCTTAATATATGATGTACTGAATTAGAGTCATATATTCCACCTTTAATAGGTCATCAAGAAAGAGTTTAAGGAAGGTGTGGTAATCTGCCACAAGCCATCTGGGATGCCTTCTTCTTATTTCATTAATAATAGTCATACAACAAAAGCTACCTGTTACTGAGTACTTGTTTTGTGCTAGCAGTATGCTGATTGTTTATCTACATGCTTTCTTTGGAGGAAAATTGATCAGATTTAAATAGATGAAGAATTCAGAGCTAAAGTTCTTATAGCTTAAGTAACATGCCTAAACTCAGTGTGCTAGGAATTGATGAAACTGTAACTCAGGTATTTACTACAATATAAATACCTATATAGTAGCCTAGCAGATAAAATAAATAGAAACTTCTGAACGGAGATAATGGTGCCTGAGATGCTCATACCTCAGTTAAAAAGGTGTTTTAGTTACCTTGTGCTGTTTAATGCAAATACTATAAGAGGGTAGCTTTGAAGAACAGACATTTTCTCACAGTTGAGAAAGCTAGAAATCTGAATTCAGTGTTTTGGCTGTGGGTGAAGGCTGCAGGAGATCTTTATCTCCTTAGGTTTCTGTAACCCTGGTCTTCCTTGGCATCCTTTATATCTCTGTTCTATTCTGGTGTTTTTATAACTCAGAAGTGATTAGATTTAGGATCCATCCTATACTGGATGACCTCAGTTGATTGATTATTACATTAGATTACATTATGGAAGGTGATTACATTGCATTAAAGTCATTACATTACATTATAGAATGTAACCTGCCCTATCCGAGGCCAATGGATCTAATCGCGTGGAACTACTATACCTCAGCAACTAGGATAGTGTTTGGTCAAACAACTGGGAACTGTAGCCACCTAAGTATACATGTCAAATTAACCATCACAAGGGGGCAGGGACTGCTCAGCTCCAGGTGATTGTTTATTCATGTTAGCTAGTATAGCATAGCTATGAGTTTTGATTTTGGTTGCTGTCCACTCGGCTCTGACTCATGGTCATCTTATGGATAACAATGAAATATTGCCATCCTCACAATCGTGGGTTCAAATCCAGGTGCTATAACTTAATAGCTGTGTGACTTTGGTCTTGCTGGTTAACCTTTGTCTGTGTCTTCATTTGTGAAATGGAACTAAGAATATTGCTTATGTGAGGTAATGAAAGAGTTGTCATGAGGCTTAAATGAGCTGCTGCATCTAAAGCACATCCCAGTGCACTGAAGCCCTCAAATGTTAGCTATATATACATTTGTGAATTTTCTAAGCCTTTCTTGAGTTTCAGACATCATTCTAGGTGCTTAGGATATGACAGTGAACAAAAATTATTGCTGTAAGGGACCTGTATTTAAGTTGGAGAGGCAAGCAGTAACATGTTAAATTTTTCTGTGAAAATAAAATCAAGCAGGGTAAGAAAGGGAAAGTAGCAAGGTGTGCTATTTTAGATTGGGTGGTCAGGTGCCATTTGGGCAAAGGCCTGAATGAAGTGAAAGTGTTAGATGCTGTGGTTAAGGAATAGCAAGGAGGCCAGTTTCAAAGGAAAGAGGGAGAGAGTGTAGGAAAAGATGTTAAAGAGGAAGGGAGGGACCATATCTGTCTATCCTCATCTAATCCAAAGGGAATCTTCCCAAATGACATTATCTTTTCCAGAGTTTGGATACTGAGAGATTCTAACTTGAGCTCAAACCTAATTCATACTAGAATTTGTACAAACTTAGGAACCAAATAGATTGCGACAGATTTTTTGGGAATATCTTTCATTATCTGGGTTTTAGCTACTCACTGTTACAAACTAAGGAGCTGAATAGTTTCTGATCAGTTATTGTATGCAGAAGCCCTTCAGGCTTTTGCACATGCTGTACTCTCTGCCTGAGATACTCTTCTTAGACTCCTGCCCCTTTTAAATTGTTTCCTCAATACTTTTCTCTCATAGTACTCTATTGTCTCCTCTCAAAACACTTATTACAATTGCATATATACACTTGTGTATTTTGTGGTTTGAGTCCACCAGCCACTCTATGGAAGAAAGATGAGGTGGTCTGCTTCCGTAAAGATTTACAGCTTTGGAAACCTAATGGGGGTTGGTATGAGTTGGAATTGACTGGATGGCAATAAGTCTGGCATTTTTGTTTTGAGTTTTATTGAGTCCCTGCTGTGTGTTGGCACTAGGGATACAATTTCGAATAAGACAAACATTGTCTTGGAAAGGAAATTTATCCTCTAGTAGGAGAGATAGACAAAAAAGCAAGTAAACAAAATAAACATTGTGCTAAGTGCTATCAGTCCAGAACCCCATTGTCATTGAGTCATTTCTGACTCATGGTGATCCCAAGGTGTTACAAAGTAGAACTGCTCTGCAGAGTTTTCTTAGCTATAATCTTTACAGAGGTAATTTGCCAGGCCTTTCTCCATGTAGCTGCTGGGAGGTTTAGCTCCATCTGCTTAGAGTTGATTGCAGTAAGAATCATGAGCCCTAAGGAGTTCTGGTGCTACAGTGGTTAAGGCATTTTGCTGCTAACCAAAAGGTCAGTGGTTTGAACCTACCAGCTGCTCTGTGGATGAAAGATGAGGCAGTCTGCTTTCATAAAGATTTACAATCTTGGAAACCCCATGAGGCTTGCTATGAGTCAGAATTGACTCAATGGCAGTGAGTTTAATGGTTTTCTAGGAGCTCTGGTGGGACAGTGGTTAAAGCATTTAGCCGCTAACCAAAAGATTGAAGGTTTGAACCTACCAGTTACTATATGGGAGAAAGACGAAGCAGTTGGCTTCTGGTAAGATTTACAGCTTTGGACACCCTCTGGGGGCAGTTCTGCTTTGTCCTCTAGGGTCATTATGAGTTGGGATTGACTCGATGGCGGTGGATTCATGATTTTCTGCCTTGAAATATTGGTTAGATAGTGATGCCATTTAATGAGATGAGGGAAGCCTAGTTAAAGGCAAGGTTTTGTCTTCATAATTTTTACATTTGTTTTCTTCTTTATTTTATAGCCATTGTGTAATATGGTATCTCATGAATATTAATGCTTAGATCATGTGTGTTGAATAATAAATAAATAAATAAATAAATAAGCTAAGTCTTAAAAAATGAAAAGGCTTTTGCTGGGTAGGCAAGCAAATCATGTTAAACAAATCATGTGTTAAGAACTGAGGATTAATCTGGGTTTTAGGTCTCAGTATTGGTTTGAAAATAGGATCCATTAACTATCTCTTTTTCCTGACAGTGGATCAAGGCTTCAGTTTCACATTAAAACCCTATCCTTTAGAGTAGTATAACATTTTGGGCCCAAAGATTAGACTGGGAGAACAGACTTTTCCCTTTGTATTTCTATTATGGTAAAACAGCTTCACCAGAGTTAGTGAGAATATGGCTATGACTTTGAGGAGCAACTGATGAGGAATATCAAAAGGAGCTATTCTTACTTGAAGCTGTAGACTTAGTCATAATAATTGATGCTGTAAAAACCTAAGCCTAGATTTCCTAAGAAGACCAGTGGTCATCTGATCTCAAGGAGAAATGCGTAAGAAAAATAATTCCTAGTATTCTTACAGTATCCATACAATTCTTCCTGAATTCTTGCTATAAGAATTCCACTTGGAACATTATTTTGATGTAGTCTCCTCCCCTTGGTGCCTCTAATCATGCCAGTTATATACTATATGCAGCCTCCTGTCCAATTCATAATGCTGTATTTTCTAAATAAACTAGAGATGGCTATACAGTTAAGCATAGAAGAAATTCACGCACACACACGTATATATATATATATGCATATGTATGTATGTGTGTACACACAGATGTATGTATACACACACGCATGTGTGTGTGTATATATACATATATATATATATACATATATATATATATATGTATATATACAAACACACCCTGGTTAAGTGCTTGACTGGTAACTGAAA